AACCTCTTCTAACCAGTTCAGTAGATTTGACGAACTGGTTCTACCGAACTGGTGCGAACTGGTAGGAACCCACCTCTGGGTCGTACGCCAAGGACCGCCTGCCATTTTCTCTTGTGTCTTCCAACCGCAGCGTTATTTTTCCCCATTTTTCCCCTCTCTTCAGATGACAGAGTATAAGCGAGCCATGTTTCAAGAGGACGAAGTGCTGGATGCCACGGGGGATGGGAGCAACACATCTCCGGACAGCGTAGAGGTATGGTGAACGGTGAGAGGTACAGGAAGCTCTCAACTTACAACCATTCACTTAGCGACCATTCGAGGTGGCAACGGGTACTGAAAAAAAGCCACGGATGATTAATTTTCCCATTAACGACCGTTGCAGCATTTGCCTTGGTCGCGTGATCAGAATTGGGGCACTTGGCAACTGGCATGTATTTATGAGGGTTGCAGTGTCCTGGGGGTTCCCATGTGTGACCTTCTCAGCTGCTTTCCACCCAGCAAAATCAATGCGAAAAGCCATTGACTGCACGATTCATATAACAACTGTGGCAATTCCCTTAACAGCCATGGGAAAGAGGTCACGAAATAGGACACAGGTCACTTCAACTATTTTGCTTAGTGTTGGAAATCTTATGCTCCATTTGTTCTGACCGAGGCTTCCCCAGCAGCATGAAGCGATAAACCCCTTTTATTTAATTGACAGTGAATTCCTCTCCAGCAAAGTCCCGGCCCACAGTCTTTCAAGATAGTTCACAATTACCGATCTTTATCAGGCTTGGAGAGTGGCCAGGCTGGTATCTTTAAGATGCTGCAATACCTGGCAAGAATGCAGGAATGAACGAATTGTCTCCTGCAAACTCCACTCCCCTTTCACCCCTCTTTTATTCCCTCTGGGAGGGGCCATTCACCGTCCACCTGTGCCTTTACTCCTAAATCGGCCCTTGTTCCTTAGCTGTTCCCTTTGTCTGGCAGCTCTGCGCTTGCGCACACTGGGAACAGGCTCCAGCTGTTCTTCTGCCTCACTGATGTCTGACTC